GAAAGAACCTTTTGAAAGCTATTTAATATTTCATTTAGATTGTTGTTTTTATTGCAATTGAGAGAAAATTATTGGACAGATTTTTTTTTTAATGTCTTTTGTTTTCTTGAATGTGAATTTTTGTTTTCTTTCTTTGTTAATAACATTTTATTAAAGGGGTGTGCTTGGGTGGCTCGGTTGGTTAAGTGTCCAGCTCTGGATTTCAGCTCAGGTCATTGTCTCAAGGTCCTGGGATTGAGCCCCGCATTGTGCTCCGTGTTGGGTGTGGAGCCTGTTTAAGATTTTCTCTCCTTCTCCCATTGCCCCTCCCCTGCACGTGCATGGGTGTGTATGCTCTCTCTCAAAAAGTAAGAAAAAATAAAATATGAACACATGGTGGGTCTGTTTGGCTTAAACTTGCTAAAAGTCACAGATGATACTTTAAAAAGAAAATATATAAGCCAAGAGAAAGAGTAAGGGGGACACCTGGGTGGCTCAGTCGGTTAAGTGTCCGACTTTTGATCTCACCATTCGTGAGCTTCTTTGAGATCGAGCCCCGCATCCGGCTCAGCACTGGCAACACGGAGCCTGCTTGGGATTCTCTCCATGTCTCTCTCTCTTTTTCTGTCTGTCTGTCTCTCTCTCTCTCTCTCTCAAAATAAACAAACTTGAAAAAGAGAAGAGTAAGGAACAGGCACTTAGCATATGATAGCTCAGATATGTGATGCACAGTGTGCTCCGTTTGAGGAGATGCCACTTTCATCCACATGGAACCACTTACATGAAAACATGCGGGTGTGGAGATTTCAGGCCCCCCAGTCAAGTCCTGATGCAGCTGGGGAGCACTCTTCTGCATAAATCTGTACCAGCATGTGGCCCCATTTCATTTATGGACTCAGAACTCTGAGCAACACCTACACACCTGGCAGACACACACCTGTTGCCATGCTCTTTGGGCATCCCCTGAGGTTTTCTTTCCCTCGGCCTCCATTCCCACCCCAGCTCTAAACCTGACACCCTGACCTCCCTCACTCTGAACCTGATTTCTAGGGAGCCTGGGAGGAAAGGCCTGGAGAAGGAATGTGTACATTGCAAGTGGCATATCTGTTCCTCTTCGGGTTTATGTGAAAAGACTGGAATGCAGATGCACGTGTAGGTGCAGTGAAGACTGCTTCTCTCATGGGCTCAGTAAAATTCCTCTGGAAAGCTCTTCAGGTTGTGTAGTATTTCTTTTTGAGAAAGGGGGAGGCTTTTTTCTAATTTGCAGGAAGGCACTGCAAAAGCTAGACCCTATAGACGATGCGCCTATGCAGTGTTTCTCAGGATTCAGAGTGGAGTCCTTTGTAGCCCACCAAGTCATTTTTTAGAAAGCTGACATTTTCTTAGGAAAAGTAAAACAATGAGACAGGTTCCAATATTTTGAGGTTTAGATTAAGCCTTTTTTAAATTAATATTTTGGTTTTTTCATTTATCCCTCAATATTGTGTATGTGCTGCAAGGCTGGTACTATGTCAGTTCATCTTAGCTAACGTTTAAATTCAGCTATTATTACTTACTCCTGCTAAATGTGCAGTTTTGTTTTTGCTTTGTAGCCCCAGTTTACATGTGGCTCGTTTTGAAGCATTTAAAGCAAGAAGAATGTTGTAGGATTACTACAACTTAAAATCACATTATGAATATAAGTAGTAAATAGTTCTCCAATACAAATATGATGTGTGAGATTGCTCATTCTATTACATATGAATCTGCAATGTGTGATTTTGCAGAAGCTGTCAAGAAAAAATGTGAAAAAAAAAAAAAGTCAAGTTTGATGGTGCATACCTGAGTCGGATTTTGATGGACTTGTAATTTCTTTGCCCTATGTTTTGTCTGTCATGGAATTTTATGAAATTTAAAACCTTCAGAGCATTTGTGTTTTATTCTAAGTACATTCATTGTTAGCAGTGAGATCTAAAGTGCTCCTGTCTTTGCGTTTAGCTTTTGATTCATCTAATCATGGTGAAGGGACTGGCTCTGTCAATTTCCTTCCCGGTGACTATTGGCAAAAATTTCTCAGTAAGTGGGGGAGGGTCAGAGAGAGAGGGAGACACTGAGTCTGAAATAGGCTCCAGGCTCTGAGCTGTCAGCACAGAGCCCCATGTGGGGCTCAAACTCACAGTGAGATCAGACCTGAAAAGAGGTCGGACACTTAACTGTTCAGTTCTTAATTCTTTTTTAATTTTTTTTTTTTAACATTTATTTATTTTTGAGACAGAGAGAGACAGAGCATGAACTGGGGAGCGTCAGAGAGAGGGAGACACAGAATCTGAAACAGGCTCCAGGCTCTGAGCTGTCAGCACAGAGCCCGACGCAGGGCTCGAACCCACGGACCGTGAGATCATGACCTGAGCCGAAGTCGGCCGCTTAACCGACTGAGCCACCCAGGCGCCCCTCAGTTCTTAATTCTTAACAGCATTTATATAAAGAAGAAGAAACTCCAGATAGTGTCTCTGAACTTTGTCTCCTTGAAAGGTGTTACAATACTTGAGCAGTGCAATGCATTGGGGATGCTTCATTTCACTCTTGTGTCTGTCTTCTAAGCAGGGCCCTCATTTTTCCATTTAAAAAATCAATTTAGTATTTTATAGCATAGGTAGGAGTAATGAACTAATTACTAGAGTAATGAAATAGCAGAATATTTCAACATATAGAAATATAGCTAAGGTCTCCTAATACATCTTAGATTTATAAAAGGGTACAATAGGGCCATATGATAATTGCAAACAAGAATGTTTATATTCTATTAAAAATAAGTAAAATTGGTCTTTGATTTTTTTTGTAAGACTGCTAAGAAAAAAAAAAAACAAACGTGAAACAACACTCCTCATGAGTAGAGGTACTAAGAAAGGAAATTCTAAATATAAATTTGGGCCCAGTGGATCCTGCTGGTGTATCAAGAAATGAAGACGTAATAATTTTTGCTCTTTGAAGATGCTTATCAAGGTTTTGATTTTATTTATTTTTAAAATGTTTATTTTGAGAGAGAGAGCGAGAGAGTATGAACAGTGGAGGGGCAGAGAGAGAGAGAGAGGGCGGAGAGAGAGTCCCAAGCAGCCTCTGAGCTGTAAGGCCCAGAGCCCAGAGCCCAAGGCCAGGCTGCATCTCAGGAACTGTGAGGCCATAATCTGAGCCAAAATCAAGAGTGGGACACTTAACAACCAGCCAGCACTCCTGATTTTAAGTTTTCCTTTTTTTTAATGTTCTCTGAATTATTTCCCCCTCTTCACAGAATCAGGTTTCTTTTTCTCCCTCCTTCCTTAACTCTCTCTTCCTCCTCTCCTCCTTTTCCCCTCCCATTTCTATTCCCTGCCCCTCCCTTCTTTCTCTCCCTCTGCCTCCCTTGGCCCATTAGTCTGTCTTCCCTCCTTCCTGCCTGCCTTCCTACCTTCCTTCTTTCCTTCCTTCCTTCCTTCCTTCCCTCCTTTTTATTTTTGCCAGATATTACCATAATTGTTTCCTGGCTTTACATTTTAAAATGTAGGTATGGCTTGTTTTAGGTTATAAACATTCATCTTGTTTGCTTTGTGTATAAGTACTTTGTTTTTCCATACAGTTTTGATTACTACAGCTTTGTAGTCTATCTTGAAATCTGAGATTTTGATGCAGTCTTAGATTGTTCTTTTTCAAGATTGCTTTTCCAGCTGATCTCCTCCTTGAATGGGAAATCTGATAGAGACGAATAGTACTTGCATCGGGCATGTTGATTGACAGTGTCATTCTAGGGTGGGTGAAAAGAGGGCTGCCCATCAGGCTGTAGGCCCCCTAAAGTAATAACATGGAAGGATTTATTCTGGGTGATAACACCCAGGTTGGAAGACTTAGCACCCTCTGGTTAATCAGTGAAAAATGTCCTTGGAAAGCAGCCTGTGTTCCTGGAAGTGCTAGGTTTAAATACAGTGCCTCCCTACCTGAAATCATTTTCCTGCGCTATAGAGGTCAGGACAAGTGGTTACTGAAACAGTTCTGTATGTAAACTTTTAATTAACCTTGATTTGGCTCTACTTTTCACTCCCACCCTTAATCCCGGTGGCTTCTATCTTTATTCCAGCCACTTTATACTGTCTTCTGGATTTCAGCCTCCCTGTTTATTTTATCCCTAACCATTTGTTTTCCCATCTTCCTGTAACATGTTGCTACCTTCTCCCCTGCTCTGTCACTCCTTCTCTCTTCTCTTCCTTCACGTTCTGGGTTTATTCTTTTCTATCCCAGTACTGTAATTACTAGGGTACTGGGAAGGGCTAAAGTCAACACATTTCCTCAGTGTGCAACTTTCTGAAACATGCATATCTCAGAGTAGCATCTATTACAGTTTTTACTACCACCAGTATTTGAAGTTTTCATTTTCATAGCAACCCAAGTATTATTAGTGGTTTCTTTGGGTTTTTTTTTTTTTTTTTTTTTTTTTTTTTTTTGCCAGTTTCTTGTTCTAACGTGTAATCTTCTGTAAGGAACTGGCAAATCTTCATTTTTTTCTTTTGAGTTTGTTTTTGTTACTATAATTTTCTAGGAGTTGTTTGTTCACTTGAATTACATAGTCACTGTGAAATTCTGGGTTTTATAATCAGTTTTCATAGGGTTTCCATGGAGAATTTTGATTTTACATCACATTTACTTCAAATACCTTCTAGTCTTTTGTTTTCACCCTAACTTTTATTCTTTTATAAGTTATGTTATTTGAATGTTTCATGATTTCTAAACTTTGAAATAATATAAAAGTCATACCCCTCCAGAGAATTTATATTAATTAGGATTTTTATTTTTGTTTTACTAAATTTTCTAAAATTTTTGTGGAATACTGTTGTAAAATAATTTGGCAGTGCATTTTGAGAGCCAAGAAAATGTCCCTATGTTTTGATCCTGTTCTCAGAAGGCTTAATTAAAAGGAGGGATAAAAATTTGTTTGGTGTTTTGAATTCACCCATATTCTTATTTTGTCAAATTCTTTGAAATACCAAAAGGTAAAATATTTTTATGTTTTCCAGATTATTGCTCAGTTGTAACAATTGTGGACCAGACAAATGTAAAGTTAACTTGCCTGCTCTTCAGTGGAAGTTACGAAGCCCTACCAATAATTTATAAAAATGGAGATATTGTTCGCTTTCACAGGCTGAAGGTAAAATTCATACTGTCCAAACTCATATGTATTTGAAGAGGGCTCTGTACTTTTCATTAGTACTAGTTAGCGCTAATTATGTGGTTGCTGTGGTGGAACATGGCATCAGCCATTTCAAGAGGTAAGAAGAAATGTAAATAATACTAGACTTCAAATAATGAATATTAAGAAATCTCATTTGGACAAACTGTGTGCCTTCCTTCCACAGAAATGTGTTAGTTGCCATGATTAAGACTAGTTGCATTTCCTCTTCTCAGTTCTAAAGATAGATTGATGGTTTAAAGGTTTTCCAGGTAGAGTTGGGTTTAAAAAAAAAAAGCCCTAGGCCGCTGGGGTTTTGTTTTGTTTTACTTTTTTATTAAAAACTTACACAAAGATTGGGAGATTGTGTTAATTCAAGTACAGTGAAAGCATTGAGATGTGAGTATAAAATCAAAGTAAGTTGATCTTTATGAAAAATGTATTAAAACATGAACATATTTCAGTTCTTACAAAATTATGCTAAGCAGTTAAACAAGTAAAGGTAAAAAAACCCCACCTTTATTGTGAAAGTACAGCTATTAAATACTATCTGATTTTTTAAAAAATTCAGTACTGTAATATTTTCAGTCCGTAGGTTTTAAGTAGTTTTGTCCTTTCATCTTTTCCTCTTGTTACATGAAGATTTCCTTGCAACTCTTTCATTATCTTGATTGTCTTTTTTCTTCTCATGCTTCAGTTATTCTGTGTCCCTCATGGTCAGTGAGATGCTTATGAAGTGAGCACAATATTCTGGGTGTGTTCTATTCTTAGTTTCAGTAAGAATTAGCTATCTTGATCTCTTAAGGCCCTTTTCCTGAGAATAGAAGAGTAGTAGAGAATATTTTTGTAATGTTAAAAGAGAAGTAGAAATATTATCATCGTAGTGTTACCATTTCTCACATACTGTTGTTTCCTATAGTATTTGTATTCCGAGAGTGCACTCTTCCCTCCTAATGTTTTTAGTTATTATTCTTGCTGTTGTTTAACTGAAGTAGACTGTACATCTCTCAGTTCACAATATAAGTATAGTCTGTAACTAGCACTCGGAAACTTCCTTCATACCCCATCCAGGAATAAATACTCTCATAACTTCAAACAACATACATTAGTTTCATCTCTGTTTGCTCTTTATATAAAGAGAATAGACTTTAGGTTTTGTTTTGTTTTTAATGTCTGGCTTATGCCTGTGTGATTCAACCATGTTACTGCATATAATTTTACTTTGTTCACTTTCATCGGTAAGCGGTATTCCGTTGTGTGAATGCATCAGAATGTATATATTTTGTGAAACGTTTAAGTAGTTTTCAGTTTGAGGATATTATGCTGCCGTAAACAGTCTTATATCTTTTAGTGAGTATATATATTAATATTTTTATTAATGAAAATTTACTAGATAAGCTAAACAGATTAGATATATCATGTTTACTTAAAGATTGTGGAACAATATCAAATGGTGAAACCTGTCATTTGAGATGCACAAGAAAACAGTGTGAATGGGAAAAAATATATTTATAGAAATAAATAGAAAGGACAAGAATTTTTCCAAATTTGATGGAAAACATTGTCTTACGGATGTTAGAAACTTGGTGCACTCCATGCTGGCACCTCAGAGAAAAAGCACATCTAAACAAGTCACTGTGAAATCATTGAAAAATATTTAAAAAATCTTGAAATGAGCTGGCAGAGAAATAACACATTCCACATAAGAAACAATACCAGCCATCTTTGATTTCTTATCTGAAATGATGGCGCCCGAAGAACAAAGCAATGATAAAAGTGGTGATAGAAAATGTGTTCCCCTGGAATTTTGTATCCAAAGAAAATATTTTTCAAAAATGTGAGAATCCCCAGCCAGTGTATCTTCAGTACAAGTAAACGCTAAAGGATGGTTATTCAGGACAGAAAAGCATGCTACCAGCCAGAAACTTTTGATGGTTAGGAAATGACCAAAACTAAAAAAAGAAAATGGTGAAAGATAATGTTTTGTATTTCTTCCCAAAATTTCACTAAAAGATAAATGGCTATTTAAAAAATAATAATAGGGGCGCCTGGGTGGCGCAGTCGGTTAAGCGTCCGACTTCAGCCAGGTCACGATCTCGCCGTCCGTGAGTTCGAGCCCCGCGTCGGGCTCTGGGCTGATGCCTCAGAGCCTGGAGCCTGTTTCCGATTCTGTGTCTCCCTCTCTCTCTGCCCCTCCCCCGTTCATGCTCTGTCTCTCTCTATCCCAAAAATAAATAAACGTTGAAAAAAAAAAAATTAAAAAATAATAATAATAATATTGGAAGATGGAGTTTATAAAATAGTAGAAAAATATGAATGATAGCACAAAGGATAGTTAAAAGTAATTATACCACTGAAAAGTTATTATCTTCAGATAATACTTTCAATAATACTTTCAGTAGAAAGTGTAAAACAGGATATGGGCAAGTGGAAATGTGACCTGGAAACTAGTCATTATGAAGTAGAACAATACTGATTCCAAATAGACTTTGCGGTAAAGATTCATTCATAACTCAGAGGAAGTAAACAGAACACTAATAAGGTCAAAATAAGATGGGAAAAGAACAGTAGAAGAACAAAATTTTTAAAGAGCAAAAGGGGGGGGATACAAAAGGAAAACAAGACAGTAGACTTAAATATAACCGTATCAGTAATTTTATGTAAATGGACTAAACATTCCTTTTGCAAGGAAAAAAAAAAAATCGACCAAATAAAAAAGCAAGAACAAACACCACTCCCTACGCAAAATGAAGACACAGGCAAGTTGCAAAACTGTAGAAAAGATATACCAAGCAAACAGTAAGCATAAGGAAAATGAAATCACTATATTAATATCAGACAGAATATTACAGATTAAAAGGGGGGGGGGCATTTCATAAAGACAAAATGATTGCTTCATGAAGAAGATGTAAGCATCATAAATGCATATGCATGTAATAGCAGAGCCTCAGAACGTGAAAGCCAAAGTCTTTCTCACTGTCTTGCCTCTCAGTCAGACTGATGAAACCTTAGCCTCTTGCGTTTTGTTCACTTTGAAGTCCTGTATTTTAAGTGTTCTGGTTTTCCTCGTAACATTCATAAGTAATTGTCACTATCCTTTTTCCTTTTGTAAATTATACCTTAATAAGAAAAGTAACAATTGTGAAAGTGCAAGCTTGATAGGATCAAGGAGTTGACCACCTAGACCTTTAAAAAATAGAAATAAATGTTACACAGTGGATCTTGATATAGCCTGGTTGATTTTATAATTTCATATGCTAACTAAATGAAATATATTAATTGCTTATATTCTTTATTAACTGTGCTGGCAAGATTTTATAATCCCTCAAGTATCTTACTTTTCGGGTTCTGCATCAGTAAGCTATTCTGTTTTCTACTTTGCCCGACTTTCTTAGATCCAAGTATATAAAAAGGAGACTCAAGGTATCACCAGCTCTGGCTTTGCCTCCTTGACATTTGAGGGAACTTTGGGAGCTCCTATCATACCTCGTACTTCAAGCAAGTATTTTAACTTCACCGCGGAGGACCACAGAATGGTAGAAGCTTTACGTGTTTGGGCATCTACTCATATTTCACCTTCTTCAACATTAGTAAAATTGTGTGATGTTCAGCCCCTGCAGTATTTTGACCTGACTTGTCAGCTCTTGGGCAAAGCTGAAGTGGATGGAGCATCATTTCTTCTAAAGGTAGGTATTTTAAATACTTGAAATTATAAGTTAGCACCACCTACATATCTATAAAGAGCTTATAGCTCAGTATTCTGAAGGAATAAGTATGCCCACTATTGTATTTTATTAAGAACTTTAAATCTAACTTACCATTTTTGATGAGCATAGATATTCATGCAGCTCTACTCTTGAACTTCTCTTTTTTTATGCATCCAGAGAAAAATAGTGTTGTCAATAGTTTAAATATAGTTGATGGTTTATTTATATATTTCTTATTTTAATATTAATAAAATATGGAGTTGTTTTCTACTGTTATATTTCAGTTACAATTTTACGTATGCATATTTCTGCTTCCCTGTCAAGGTAGCCTTGCTTCTCATTTATTTTCTTGGCTCATTGATGTTGGCTTCTCTTCCCATGTCATTTCACTGCGTGCCTCATGGGTAGATCACAGATGGTTTTGAAGTGTTTATTTTTGTTCTTGTTATGTTTCGTTTTTAAATCAGAAGGATTTAAAAAAGTAAAGTAAGACCTATCTAATCTTTCTTTACACCTGCCCCAATTTACTCATGAATAGCTTCTGAAAAAGACAGTTGTCCAATATTAACCTCACCTACCCACCCTAGTCAGAATGCATTTAAACAAACACTGCTTCAGCTCCGCGCCTATGGTTATTTCTTTAGCTTCTGACTCTGAAACAACAGGACAAGAAACTGTACCGTGGCACTTGGACAAGTATTGGGTTTAGCATTATTATCATTTATACCTTGCCCTTATTGAGGAGTTGGTGAAGATAAAAGTTATTGAATGAAATATGAAGTTTTTAAAGTTGAAAATAGCATACATATATACATGTGAAATACTTTGAGAAAAGTAATTACATGCTGTAAAAAAGGTAGGTAAGTCAAGTATGACACCTGAAGTTAAAGCAAAGTAAAATCATCCAAAGTTAGAAGAAATCATAGGTCAGCCAGTCATACTGATCACACTTTGGATGCCCAAAGTGACATCCTTAACAGTTGAACATTTGACAGGCACTGAATACTTCCAATGGCATATAATATGCTGTGCAGAATATACTCCATCTTTTCACTGCTGTGTAGAAAATTCTTAAATTCTGAGATAAAATCTGCCACCTTTTAGCTGACATGGCAGAATGTACGTTCATTCTAAAGCAACAAAACATACGCCTGCATTCCATTTTTATAGATAGCCTTTTCAGATAAGTGAAAACAGCTTTTATGTAGATGTTATTTTAAAACACAGCATTCGGAAGTGAATGTACGACTTTCTTGAAGACACTTTAAATCTCAGAAGTCTGTGTATATTCTTTGACTCAACAATTTTATTTTTGTAAATTTATTTTTGTAAATTTTCTAAATTTACTTCGTAAATGTGGAAAAATGAATTTAAGAGTATTCTTATAATGCAGTAACAAAAATTAGAAAACTCATACTAACAATAGAGAATTAATTGTGTGAAGTGTTTCCGTATTATGGAATACTCTGTTACAATAAAATGTCATTGTAGATGTATAGCTACTAAGATAGATATTTATAATATTCTATTTAGAGATTAATGCAGTTTTATATACTAAAATGTATTATATGCATAGTAAAAATATATTAGGAAGAATATATAGCAATATTTTACTCATTACCTCTGGAAAATTGAATTTTGAGTGATTTGTTTTTCTGAGATTGATTTTCCTATCACACAGCAGAAATAACTTTTTAAATTATGTTTTAAGCACAAAAGGAGCCAGACATTATTCCAAGTGAGTTGTGGAAAGCATGGAATGCAACAACATAATTATTTCCAGTGTTTGGGCATCTGGTCTCATATCCAGCCTGAACATGGATATGATACCAATATTTATTCCTTTATTAGTAACTATGATACTAGTTCATTTTAATCATACCAGTAGACATGTTACACCAATAATGTATTCAAACAGTAATACACTGCAATCCATGGTTTATTTTAGAAATCAGAAATTTAAGGAATTAATTTTAGGATAACTTAAGGAAAATTACATTCCTCTTGGTGAATGTTCAATACATTTGTGAAAATGTATAACAAATTATGTCAAATGTTTAGAATTAGAAGTATGCCTCCTTAACTTGATAAAAAACTTCTCTTGTAATCAAACAAAATATTTAGTGTTCAAATTTTGGAGTCAGTAATGCCAGGAACAAGACAAAAATACCCAGTATTTTCTGTTACCTAATGTTTTTCAGGAAATCTTAAGAAATTCACTATGAACAAAAATGAGAGCTATAACTCTTTAAAATTTTTTTTATGTTTATTTATTTTTGACAGAGAGAGAGAGAGAGAGAGAGAGAGAGAGAGAGAGACAGAGCATGAGCGGGGGAGGGGCAGAGAGAGAGGGAGACACAGAATCGGAAACAGGCTCCAGGTTCTGAGCTGTCAGCACAGAGCCCGACGCGGGGCTCAAACTCACGGACCGTGAGATCATGACCTGAGCCGAAGTCGGACGCTCAACCGACTGAGCCACCCAGGCGTCCCAGAGCTAGAACTCTTTTAAAAGAAAGAAAAAGAGAAGATCATTAGTCACAAGATGTAAAACCCAAACAATGAACTGAAAGGCTATTTGGATTAATAAAATTATTCCGTGAGATAACTGGTTTAAATATTAGTAAAATGTAGCTTTGGTACCTATCAGTAATAAATAGAACATATACGTGAACAAAAGTTCTTTCAAAGTCACAACAGCTGTGAAACAAGCCAATTCATGGAAGAAATCCCTGATATTCTGTGAAGAAAACTACAAAACTTCATTGAGCATATTCAAATATTTTTTTATTCTTTCTTAAAGAATAAAATGCTATTTTAATTAAAACCAAATTTTCTAAATTGACTGTAATTCTAAAATTTATTAGAAACATTAAATGGTCAAGAATAAAACAAGCTTGATTAAAAAAACTCAGATATCTGATATTAAAGCATATTATGAAATTATAGTAATTGATATTATTGTGAGACTAGTTAATCAAAAGATTAGGAACCTCTTACACTGTACATACAAGACATACATGATAATAACATAACATTTCAAATTGATGAAGACAGATTGCTAAATGGTGATTGTATCTATTTAGAAAAGAATCAGATCTGTACATAAGATACAAATTCCTAACAGATTAAGTTTTGATACAAAATTACAAAAGTTGGGGAAAACATTAAAAAAAAAAAAAAGACTTCTAGGTGATTAGAACTGAAGCATAAAAACAATGTAGCTACACTCTACTCTCTCAGCCCCTCCCCCAAAAGGCTGGGAGATTCATCTGTAAAGCTATTTTAAAGTCACAAAAACAGTATGAAAGAACACATTCCAGGTGGAGAAAAAAGTTCGTGACATACACTGTACCTGCTCCCAGAGTGTGTATCCTGGTTCTTTGAATAATTTAGGGAACGGTGAGTGACCCAAACTCAGTGATTGTTTATTTGAAACTTGGAAGAGTCACCAACGTTATTCAGTACTTCCTCTGTAAGCTCACGCTGGCAGACAGCTGAAATGAGTGTATTCTCTTCAGAGAGCCTGTTTCTCTTGTCCAGCCAAATTTCTCACATGCAAGGGCATTCTTATCTCGTGCCAGATGTCTTTTGTCATACCCTTTTATAACAAAGCACAGCCATCTCTTCAAAGCCTAGCACAACACAGCCTAGCTCACACCCTAAGGATAGGGTAGCACATACTCCTCCTGTGCCCATGTTCCCATCCTCATCTTAATGTAGCATACGTAGCAATCCAAGATGTCCTTTCCTTTTCCAGCACCCGCGATTTTCATTCATTTGTGTTCATAACCTCTAACTTGAACAGAACATTCCTATCTGTACTTTTAAAAGCCTCTTCCAAATGAAAACAAAGTGAAAAAATAAGCAAAGGTTAGAATACATTCCTGAAACTTAGGGATTTATACTTAAGAAAATGAGCAGATGTAGTCATAAAGGTGTATTTTAAATTATTTAAAATAGCAAATCACCAGTACAGGGATCAGTTTAATAAATTTTTGTATATCCACAGCATAAAACGAAAGAAGCAATTGACGATCATATTTTAGAAAAATATTTATATTAGCTGATAAATTGCTCAACAGTAAACTAAGAAATGCAAAGCAGAATATAATGCCAGTTAAAAGCAGAAAAAGACACATATTATAAATACACAGAAGAAAAAAAGATAAAGAAATTCAACAATGTGTTAGCACTTTTTTTCCAGGTAGTGTGAATTTTTTTCTTTATAGTTTCTACATGACCTATATCTATGTAGTCCTTTTACAACCAGAATATACACCATTTTTAAAGTTTAGCAGATATTTGGGGGAATACATGTAATACTTGTAAGTTATATTACCGGAAAATAATGTTCTTTTTAAAGTCTCCACTGTTGCGCAGAAAGATCATTAAAGTTTGCTTTACCCTGTTATGGCAGGTATGGGATGGCACCAGGACCCCATTCCCATCTTGGAGAGTCTTGATACAAGACCTTGCACTTGAAGGAGATTTAAGTCACATCCATCAGCTACAGAATCTAACAATAGACATTTTAGTCTATGATAATCATGTTCAAGTGGCAAAATTTCTGAAGGTGATGTTGAGTAGCAAATGTTTTCTCTTTTGTGTTTTTATAAATGTGGGGGTGAATCACATTTATAGATGATATTTGAGGTCTAGAAATTAACTCCAATTTTATTTTTCTTTAATTTTTATTTGTAAAATGTATTTAAAATAAATTATTAGAAAAAGGAAAATATTAGAAGATTTCATTAAATTATAATGGCTTGAATAACTTTTAAAAATTAAAGAACATTTCCTGGATATTTTAAGACTGTATACAACTTTACCATAAAAGTAGTAAGGAAAAATGTTCTGGTATATGGTTGTATAAAATATTTGTAAACTTAAACATTTAAGCTTTATAAATTGGGTTTTGAAAATTTAGCCTACAACTTTCTACTCATTAGTTTAAGAAATTGTTGATCCACCTCTAATATATGTCATAAATTGTGTGTGTTTATACTGTATAGTTTATTAGAATTTGCTCACTGCTTTTGAGTTACTGGTTTTTTTTAGGTAAAAGCTCACTGTTGAGATGTGGCACTTGATTATTAATATTTTAGGAAATATTTTTCTTCATTATATTGTCTTTTATTTGGAAGTATCTTTTCTAGCAACATATGGCATCATTATAACAACAGTGATAATAGCAACATTTGTTGAACACTTCAGATGTATTTAGCACTATCCTGTGTAGTCAGTATTGCCACCATTCCCGTTTTACATATGAGAAAACTGAGGAGTCAGCTGTTAAGCCCAAGATTTCACGGCTACTTGTATGTGTATCTATAGTGTTTGGTTTCCAGAGCCAGTCCTTTTAAGCAGTATAAAGAAATGATTTTCTTTATTGCAAATAGCTTCGATCCTACCTTTAGGGAGTTATACAGCCTGCTTATAGAAAGTTATATGGCCTACTTATAGGAAGAAAACAGTAAAAGTGAATTGCAGCTGTTTTTGATCTGAATTTTATGCCCAGTCTCCCTTTGTAAATAAATGTTCTTGGAGAAGGAAATAGTTCCTCTAACACTGCGTTACAAATAAGCCCCCCCAACTTATCGATAAATGAGGCTAAAGTCTGGGTCCAGGAGGGGTGATAACTGAACTGGCTTGTCCTTTATATGTGTGTGTGTGTGTGTGTGTGTGTGTGTGTGTGTGTGTGTGTGTGTGTACACCTTTTCATACCTAACAGATCAGAGAAAATTGACTGTTGAAAATATATTTTTGATGCTTCTCCCTGATTTTGTCTACACTGATTATTTCAAAAATACACATAATGATAGAGTCAATTCAAAGTCTTATTTTTTTTTTATTTTTTATTTTTTTTTTTTTAGCGTTTATTGATTTTTGAGACAGAGAGAGACAGAGCATGAACAGGGGAGGGTCAGAGAGAGAGAGGGAGACCCAGAATCTGAAACAGGCTCCAGGCTCTGAGCAGTCAGCACAGAGCCCGATGTGGGGCTCGAACCCACGAATCTTGAGATCATGACCTGAGCCGAAGTCAGACGCCCAACCGACTGAGCCACCCAGGTGCCCCTCAAAGTCTTTTTAAAAGACAGATAGAGTTCTTTTTTGAATGAAAAAGATTTACATTTTTTTTTTAGATTCCGCTTTCACAATTTAATTCCCTCTCTTTCCTTATGCTGCATTTATAAGTTTTCCTATTCCTTCTCACCTGTCCAAGACTTGAATAACACCTAGCACAGTGCTTTTCTTAAAGATGAAGTAAATAGTATCTGCTGGTGAGTTAATAAATCAATGAGAGCTGTGAATTTTTTTCAGGTCCCTTTTTGTTTACCTTATCTTACCCACTAGAGGGTGCTCTGAGCGCACATTGCTAAGAAAATATACGGCACTTAATCTTTTTCTAAAGATATAATATTACATTATTTATCTGCACTGTAATAGAAAAATGGAAGGGATTTTCTCTGTATAAGTAAGGCAACTCTAAGCTTTTAGTTAATGTATATTGACATCACATTTTATTTATACTAAGGAAACCTGTATACCATTTCATATTAACTTAAGAAATTCCCAGTCAGATGACATTAATACAAATGAATTCTTATCAATGCTTGAAGACAACTGTTTGAAATTGCATTTTTATACTGAAATACATGGAACACATGTATTTTTGTTGCATAGGAACAGGAAAAAAATATGTTTTTAATAAAGAGAAGACAGTGAAGGCAATCTAAGTATAATATAATTGGCTTTTATATGCAGTACATTTTACAGTTGAAATCGCCCTTAACATTCTTCCTAAATTTTGCTTTTTGAGTGTTACACATTCACACATTCACAAACCCACCTATATGTGGGCACACACACATGTGCACAAGCACACACACATCGCAAACTTTTTGTCTAGAAATTAAAGCAGTGTATTTCTAATCCCCAGTCTTATCCTGACACAATTTAAACATAATTATAAAAAATATATAATCATAATTATGTTTTGGCCTTCAGTGACCCAAGAGCTATATAGTTTGGTTATTTTCAGACATATACAGGTAATTAAAACTATTCAAGGGAACTTCTCAATAGTTTAGAGGGAAGATTTAAATTATTTCTAAAGGGATAGTGATTTCTTAATAGCTACATTTGCTTTGCTTTTTTATTTTGCTAGCGGGGAGGGACAGAGGGATAGGAGAAAGTCTTCAGCAGACCCCTTGCTCAGCATGGAGCCCAACACAGGGTTTGATCTCACGACCAACCATGAATGAGATCATGACCTGAGCTGAAATCAGGAGTTGTAGGCTTAACTGACTGAGCCACCCAGGCACCCCTGCTTTACTTCCTTTTTGATATTCACTGAAAGGGATATTTATCACAATTTGTGAAAGTATATTTTTATAATTTTTGGTTATGACTCCCTCACTTGTAATTTTAGAATCTTATCACATTACTGACAAGACTAAGCAATGTGTGTCTATTATAGTAGAGCATCTGGCACATTTCATGGTATATTTAGCCAGCTTAAAAAAATACAATGCTGCCTCCAGAAGGAATTTGTGGAAATAACAATTTGTCATCTTGATAGCCTATTTATATAAATAAATTCTTTCATGGTCTTTAAATATTGTTTTGTTATGAAATATAGTAGTGGAAAAGATAGTGTAATAAATACCCATGTGCCTACCATTCAAAGTTAATATTTTTAAATGTTTTGCCACACTAATTTCAGGTGCTTTTAATTTTTAGGACATAAATCTCTACATGTTGAGTCTTCTTTGTACCTCTGCTCATTCTCATGTTTTGCTCCTTAGTATCTTTCTATTTATCCTAACATGTAGGTATATACACCCAGGTTTATTATGCTTTTATTTTAATAATGTACTTTTCTCTGAAAAATGCATAAGATATATATATTATTCTGTAATTTACTTTTTTCTTTTATATTTTTAAGATATATCCATGTTCATACAAGTGTCTGCGTTAATACCAGAGAGTCTTAATTATTACAGCTTTATTTTTAAATGATTCTACAGATCAAGCAAACCTTCCCCGCCCCCACCCCCCACTCCCGCAGTTTAGTCTTCAAACCTGACTTGCTGTTCACGTCTGTATGCATTTTCAGATCAGTTTTTCAAATTTCATGTAAGACACTGGAGATTTTGATTGAAATTATACTGATTTTAAAAATTAATTTGGGGGGAAATTACTATCTTTATAGTGTTAAAGCTTGTTATTTATGAATATGATATCTTTCTCCATGTTTAGGCCTTTAAAAGCATTTTTTTTTAATTTACATGGAGCATTTTATTTAGAGGGAGGTGGTTTTTAATATGTTTTTTTTGTTTGTTTGTTTGTTTTGTTTTTTCCTTACATGACCTCTTCCTCCAACATGGGGCTAGAACTCAGGACTCCAAGATTAAGAGTTATGTGCTCTACTGACTGGGCCAGCCAGGTCCCTGCATGTTTTAGGCCTTCCCTAAGTGCTTTTTTTATAGGTGTACTAGTGTATTACCTACTTTGAAAAGGAATCACAGAATAATAAACATCCAGAAAAAGTGAGATAAAAGTAAATAGAAATGGACTGTTTTGTTTTTGTTTTTTTTTTTCTTCTTCTAGTATTTCACTTTAGAGACCATGAGGAAAACTAGTTTTGTCTTCTTTTCCTTTGGAGTTTTCTTTCTCTGACTCTTTTTACCCTGCTCTTCTGCCATGTTGTAGATGTATGTCAGTGGAAGAAGTCAGAGAAAAAAAAGACCTAAATGTCCTATCTCCTTCTCATAAAAACATGACTGGGTTGGAAAAAGGTTATGTAGCTTCTTCCTTTGAGTAGGTGTCAATTTCTTTTATAAACATTCTGCATCTGTCATTTTAAGTCTTCTCCCTTAAACAAATACTCTATAAAGACATTTTTAAGACTAAATAAAACATCTAAAATTGTAGAACATTTAGTTAAAAATTATAATTGGTTTAGTTTTGTATTTGAACTCACAATGTATTTCACGTTATGGTGACAGAGTTCTTATTACAAAAGTTTTCTTTCCATAAAACTTGTGGAATAGGGGGATATTTTTGCTATTTCCATAGAACTTGTGGAATAGGGATATTTTTGCTATTATAGTGCATTAAAAAATATTTTCTAGTATTCTCATAATGAGAGTATTTTAGCAACCGTATTTAATGAAATCTTACCTTCAAGTAGCTAAAGCAAGTTAAGAAACCTTAAACAGGCTTCCAAATCAAATAGAGGGCTTGGGTTTGATTTAGGTTATAGGTTTCTTAACTAGTGTATTTTATCACTGCTAAGATTCAGTTTTATTTCACACTTCAGTATCTTTGAAATGTCTTTCATTGGAAAAAACATATGGATAGATAGATACGTAATATGCATATGTACATATACTTATATACTACATATACACATCTACATAAATACATGGGTCTACGTATATGTATGTATATACATATATACGTGCCTAAATATACACGAACATGTATATGTATATACACATGTGCGTGCACACATAAAACACATTTTGGTTTTGATACAGTGTCCTTGAGACTGATATTCAGTACACATCAGTATCGCATACCAGTATCCTGATAGGTCAGCACTTTTGACTGTTGGTCTGTGCCCCACATTTGTTAAGTATTTTATGTATCGGAAATTGTTTGATTTTTCTCATTTTTTAAATCCTAAATAATCTATTTTTAGGTTGGAAGCTTTCTTAGAATTTATAGCCTCCATACCAAACTTCAATCAGTGAATTTGGAGAACCAAGCAACATTGTTAGCTCTAGAGTTTCATCTCCATGGGGGTACCAGTTATGGCCGGGGAATCAGAGTCTTGCCAGAAAGTAACTCTGATGTGGATCAACTGAAAAAGTAAGCAAATGATACACCTATTAGAAGTTGTAAATAAGGTATTAATTAAGCTGATTTCCAAGATACTATTGTTCTGTGCTGGGGTGGGTGGATTTGATAAGTTCTTTGTAATCAATCCTCATAGGCTACTGTGCCATTATCCATTTGTCTAAATAGGTGAACCAAATGAAACCAAACTCAAGTGATTGCAGGTTCGAATAGCTAAACAGTAGCAGAGCTAGGGGTGTAATGTCAGGTTTCCAGCAGTTCTTGTGCACTTATGTCTACTCTGTGTGCTTATTCTCTTCTTCCACCATGGGTCACATTCCCCACGTAACACCAGCGAACAGTTGAAACTGGAGCTGAGCTCAAGTTTGGAAAACTTGATACATATCTAGAATTCCCAACGTACTTAATCCTGCCATGAAAAAATAATTATCTTTCTAAAGTGCCTAGGACTGATCAAATAGGTAACAGAAATGTTTTACAGTGTATTTTAAAAACTTTGAAATGTGCCCAGAAAGTGAATAATGCCTTAGGTCCTGCTACATATTCAGTTCCCTTCTTTGTGAAGTGTTTCTGGTGCTCATTGTGTACAGAAACTTTATGACCAGGATTCTAGAGGAATAAAAAATAAATCTTCTGCATGTCTTCAAAGAGCTCTAGAAAATGACCTGTTCAGTAAGTTCAAATGAAATAATATTTTTATGTTTTAATATATTGAAATAGTGTGACTTTTAAAGCCAATTAAATTAGCTACTTTAATAATCTTCTATCAGTTGTACTTCTTTATTTCTCATATTTCCATATATAGAGCATAGTATTTTACTTTTTGAATCTGGAGTAAGATTGTTCTGACAGAATGCCATCCAATAAATCCCTGGTTTACTTTTGTTTGCTGTATTTCATCATCCTACTGTTTCACTCATCTTTGTAGCATCAGGTTTTTTAAATTGGGAGATCTCAGAACTCCCAGATGCTCTGAAGAAAGCTGTAGACTTTCTCCTGAAGAAGCTGTACTACACACATACGTAATTTTTATACAATTTCAGTGATTTCTTATATTCTAAGGATAGAACGGAACTGATCATATTGACTTTGTTTTATACAACTTGATTTGAAATTATATTCTTTCCATTATAGGGTTTTAGAATCTGCAGATTTGACAGCCGGTCAGTGTTTTGATGGTATATGTCAGTCAGAACATGAGGACAGCTTTCGGTCTCTTTCAAGTAAGGACAGTTTTTAATGTTAACAGTTTAGTCTGTGCTAAGTAAAATGGCTTTATCAATCAATATTCTCTTTTTTTGAATATCTTCCCATCTCTGCCTCTTTCTCTTTTTTGTTAAATCCATATTCATTGTAAAGGAATAGGCTAAATCTTTATCTGTGTCCTATGCAAAGTAAACATTATTCTTCCCTTATTGTGTAATTGCATTTTCAAATTGGGATGGTAAGGATTACTTGATTTGTGATATATGTAGTATTTATATGTATATATTTATATGTGTATGTATATATATTCATTAAAATTTTGTATTTCCTAGGCAACCATTTTGCTTGTCAGTTTCTAATATGAACAGTGATTGTTTTTGCTGCTTTATTTCAAAGAGCTCAATTATTTTTTGATCATACATATTTCAGAGATGCATATAGATCCCAGTCTTTATCAAGTTAATCAAGTACCTAGATACAAGATCTTAAACACACACATAGTTCTGTATTATATATTATATTATTGTATACTGTTCAAATCTAAATTTTAAAAATCTGCAAGATTTTTGTCCTTTACTATTTTGCCTTACTGTCTTAATGTACAAGGGTACATTCTGGGACCTAGAATCTATGCCATTTATATATACATATATACACACACACACACACATATATATATATACACACGTAAGTTATATATAAATATAATTACATGATATATATGTGTGTATATATATACACACACACATATTTACAATCTATTTTATGAGTATTTTTTTCTATACTAGTAATAATAAGCATTAAAATTAACATGTATTGCTTGCTGTAGGAACTTACTAAGTGCCTACATGCATTAATCCTAACAGTATTCCTTTGAGGTTGAAATTGTTTTGTCCCTTTTACAGAAAGGAAACAGGCTTTGAATGACAGGGGTCGTGTAAGTCACCCAGGGTTACTTAGCTATTAACTAAAGGCAAAGTCAGATTCAACTGCAGATTATTTGATTTTTTTTGTACCTTTTTTTTTTTAATTTTTTTTTCAACGTTTTTTATTTATTTTTGGGACAGAGAGAGACAGAGCATGAACGGGGGAGGGGCAGAGAGAGAGGGAGACACAGAATCGGAAACAGGCTCCAGGCTCTGAGCCATCAGCCCAGAGCCTGACGCGGGGCTCAAACTCGCGGACCGCGAGATCATGACCTGGCTGAAGTCGGACGCTTAACCGACTGCGCCACCCAGGCGCCCCGTACCTTTTTTTTTTTAAGTTGAGAGAGAGAGAGAGTGCAAGCAGGGGAGGGTAGGGAGAGAGAGAGAGAGAGAGAGAGAGAGAGAGAGAGAGAGAGAGAGAGAGAATGAGAATTTTCATCAGGCTCCATGCTCAGCACAGAGGTTGGTGCAGGGCTCGATCCCACAACTCTGGGATCATGACCTGACCTGAAATCAAGAATTGACATTCAACTGACTGAGCCACCCACGTGCCCCTGATTTTTTGGACATATTTTAAATTTATTTCTTTATTCTCTCTGCCTTAAAACTCTCCACATTTCCTAGCACCTAGCCAGATCTGTGATTAAACTACAATTAGGAGGGCAATTTACTTCAACTGACAGTCATTTGGAGACAGCATAATTTGTAATTACACTTTTTGAAATTTCTTTTCTCCTTTTTCAGAGATTTTTAAATTATTTTTAAACTATAAAGTTAATAATACATGCCATAATACCAAGTGACACAGCTTCCTCATGCCTTTATGCCCACTACTGAGGTAATGTTAACAGTGTGGTTTCTTCAGCACTTTCATGTTTATAGAAATATATATGCCTGTACATTAACAGATATGACTTTCCCCTCTGTTTAAAATATTTTAAAAAATGGGACATACTACATAGTTGCTTTGTCAGTGTATCATAGATCTCTTCCTGGGCTAATCCATCTTAAACTCATTTTATTTTATTTTATTTTATTTTATTTTATTTTATTTTATTTAAAAAAAATTTTTTTTTAACATTTACTTATTTTTGAGAGACAGAGCATGAACGGGGGAGGGTCAGAGAGAGGGAGACACAGAGTCTGAAACAGGCTCCAGGCTCCGAGCTGTCAGCACAGAGCCCGACGCGGGGCTCGCACTCATGGACCGCGGGATCGCGACTTGAGCCAAAGTCGGCCGCTCAACCAACTGAGCCACCCAGGCACCCCAAATCTTAAACTCATTTTAATAGTTGCATAATGTTTTGTAATGTGAGTCTAACATTATAAATGTAGCTATTTTCCATTTGATAGACCTTCAGGTTTCCAGTTTTTTGCTCTTACAAATAATGCTTTAATAGCTATCCTTGAACAATTATAAATTCCTGCTTTTCTTTCTCTAAAATAAACTCCTAAAAGAGGAGTTGGCAGATCAAAGGATAAGCACATCTTTTATTTTAATAGATGCTGTCAGATTATATGACAAAATGCCATAGAATTCATATGCAAATAGCAGTGTAGCAAATATAAGGTGATATCTTACTTAGTTTCCTTGAGTACTTGGGAAATAGAAAATATTATATATTTTATCAGCCCTTTTTACTTCCTCTTCTTTGAATTGTCTGCTCTTACCTTTTACCTGATTTTCCATTGGGTTTTTAAAATTATTTTAATCAGTTTGAGGGAGACCATATATATATTTTACACAGTTTCTCTGATTTTCTTCTTATTCGACTGCTTTTAAGGTTTTTACAATTGTTTTCACTTCATGCAGAATGGCTAATACTAGGTGATCAGATTCATTGAAATTCTACTTAGCCAGCTTATGATGTCCAGTCAGGTTCTCTTGTCATGAATTCTTATGCCATTTATTAGTGATGTTGAGGAAGAAGGACTATTAATGCATGTTTGTATATGATGCCACATAAAAAAAATTATAAAAACATACTATAAAATTGTTTCTAAGTTTATTTATTTTGAGAGAGAGTGTGGGGGGAGGGACAGAGGGAGAGGGAGAGGGAGAGAGAGAGTATCCTAAGTAGGCTCCACACTGTCAGTATAGAACTCAATATCAGGCTTGATCTCATGAACTGTGAGATCATGACCAAGAGTCAGATGCTTAACCACTGAGCCACCCAGGTG